ACTACAGGCACTGTGTGGCATGAGTACATCAGAGCCGGGCCAGGACAAAAAGGGGCGGCGTTTGGGGTAGACGTAGGACGGAGTAGGAATAAAACTATGGCAGGCCCGCCGCGGGGGGAAGGAAGGAGTAGGAGTATGAAAAGGACCAGGGGGCGCCAGGGGTATACGCAAACGCGAACGTGTAGATTCAGGGTTCCGCCCGTCGCCCGCATCCCCCATCGTAAATTTGAAATCGCGTAGACGACGTGACATTCTTAAAATGCACGCACCATGTTTCGTGTTTCTGATCGTAGAATATGTGGTATTCATTGCCGCATTCACCCGCGACTGTAGCAACACGCCCCGAAGTTATCATGCGCCATAATATTGTATGTGTGTTGTGCTATGGTTGTGATCGAGACAGTAGGGCATAATGTTATGTTATGTGGGTTTGGCACGGTTACGTTATCATGCCATGTTGTTCTATGATAGACCGTGCTATGGTTTGCTTCGCTGTCATGGGAACATGCGACCCTGAGACATCGACCATACACTTTTTTTTACATACTGTTTTTTCATAATTCCAAACGTACTTTTGAGTATTCCAACATAGATATGCAACGTGTATTCTGGGGGTATGTTTGGAGTACTATTTCAATATTTGTGGTCTTGCAGAGTGTTGCGCTATTGCGCCGTGTAATACTCAGGGACCCTTTACCAGGCAAACGGGGGGGTGAAGAAGCCCTGGCACTTCGCGTCGTGAAAGAGTATCCGAGGGAGCTCGTTTGCCACTGTTCTGCCTCAGGGACCCTTCACCAGGTCCAGGACCAACACCAAGAACAATTCAGGATGAGATGCCGGCCCCAGGAACGAGGTGCAGGCTTCGGGACGCCACGTTGTGAGACAAGTCATGTCGGATTCGGCGGCGCGCCCGGCTGGGACGCTAGATGGGGGCAGGCCTTCTCAGGAGGCGGCGAGGTTTCTCAGAAGCCATCCAACTTTCTCAGGAGCCAGCCGTCTTTGTATTCGGGAAAAGCTTTGAAAGCTTACCAGAAGGCCAAAGGCCTTCCGAACCTTGGGAAAGAAGGCCCCCCCTCTGGATTCCCCCAGGGTTCGCCCTGACGGACGTCTGGGTTCTACGTTGCAGGGCGCACGTTTCCCCCACTTGGGGGCCTCGGTGGTAGCCGTAATGACCCTTCGGGGTCTTTTCCTGCGGCCCCTTCGATCACCCCCCGTTCAGAGATCGCTATTCCTCATATCCTGAGACGGGGCCGTTGTTATTACATAGACGCCTCCAGACCTTGCTCCTCCTTCTCTCGGAGGTCGATACACCTCCTACCCTGACACGTCGATTAGCGAATTGGCCTGTTCGGTTTGCGAGAGGGCGTCACGGCCGTCATTTTGCGGGTCCAGGTCCGTCGGTTTCGGTCCCAGGCCGTTTTTTATTAAAGGGTGGTTTACTAGAGGGAGGTTTGTCCACCGCCGATTCTCCTCGATCTCTTCCTCCTCACTCCTATGATTCAGAAACTCTTGCTCAGACCACTCATGCAAAACCATACTCACATGAGTTCCCGTCTTCCCTCACTTACATCACAGTCATGCTCATTCGTATTCGGAATCACTCATACTCAAACTCCTTTACACTCAGGCTCACTCACACTCAGACCCACGCACACTCAGACTCACGCGCGCTCAGTATCACTCAGTATTTCACGCTCACCCAGATCAGCGCACACACTCGTACTCAGACTCACTCGCACTCAAAATCACTCATAGTCAGACGCACTCGGACTCAGACTCACTCATACTCAGACTCATGTACGCTCACTCTTCCTCATTCAGACTCACTCACATCATCACATTCAGACTCACTCATACTCATAATCATTCACGCACGTAGATTGAAAGGGTGTTTCGAGCGAGGCACTGGCTTCAGCACCCCTAAGGGGGAGCTGCCAAGGGGCTATGTAACGGAGCCGTGCGCGCCCTGATCGTAGGGATGTCTTACGCGGTTTGTTTGTTTCTGCCCCCGAGACGTTTCTTTTTTGGCGGTCTGCTGCCCACCGCGATACAGCAGGCGTTGCACTTGGGCACCCCAGGGGGGAGCCGCCAGGGGCTATCTCACGGACCCGTTTGCCCCCAGATTGTAGGGATGTCTCTCGCGGTTTGCTTGGTTCTGCCTCCCAGATGTTTCTCGTTTGGTGGTCCACTGCTCACCGTGATGAGCAGGCGTTGCACTTGGGCACCCCAGGGGGTAGTCGCCAGGGTTGGGGACACTCCAGGATTCGCGCCCTGGTTGCAGGGATGTCTCAGGTGGCTTGCTTGTTTCTGCTCCCCAGGCTTCTTTTTGAACGCCCCCCCCCACACTTCGTCGTGGCCGCCGAGGTGTTCCGGACAATGGTGGACTTGGTCTCGGAGACAGACAGGCCGATGCATTTTTGGATATGCCGTCCGATCCTCGATTGAAGGAAGCCTGGTGAAGTAGCCCACCCAGCCTCTCCACACCCAACAAGGGTGCCGTCCGGTCCCCTGCTTGTTGCATTCTGGCATCATGGGGGTCAGCTGGGCGTGCGCACTTTTTGAGGGCCGCACGCGTTCAGATTCAGATGTTACTACGGGTGTCATACTAGTTCTGGTGTTTCCCGTACTAACACGGATGATCGTTGAAGCTGGCGTAAAGTCGAGTCGGTTCCTCCTCTTCCTCCTCTTCTTCAGTCAGACGCACTCATTCACATTCAAACCTACTCACAGCACCCCTACTCCACTCAGAGAATCCCTGTTACTCAGACCCACTCAGACTCAGGTTCACCCGCGCCCAAACTAAGTCACACTCAGACACACTCACACTGAGATTCATCCATCCTCCAACTCATTCATATTCAGATTCACTCGTACTCAGGCTCACTCATACTCAGACTCAGATTCGTCATGGGCAGATTCAGGTTCATTCACATTCAAACACGTTCACATTCAGACCCACTCTCACTCATACCCACTCTCATCTTCACTCGCTCATACTCAGACCCACTCGTACCCCAACCCGCTATGCTCTTTCTTCGCTCGCAGTCAGGTTCAAAAAGGGTCAATCATGCCGGGATTCATTCACATTCAGATTCACACACTCAGATTCGTTCACCCTATGGCTCACACACAGTGGTTACCACGATTTAGCACGCGCGGCATTTAGGCACCCCAAGTGCCAGCAGGCGCCGCGAGTAGCACGCCAGAGAGCGGGGATAGCGACGCCATGCGTTCTTGCCTGAGTTGCCGCAGTGATAGCGGCACGAGGAATTGTCCTTCGCTCTGCCTTTCGAGGTTCCTCCATCTCTCCTGAAAAGTGCCCAGAGGAGGAGGACGCCACTGAAGTCGTCTCTGTCATCATCGTTGTCGCGCCAGTCGTCTACGCGGACTCGCTCTCACACCCAGACTCTCACAGACGGAGTTCTGCAGCAATGCACATATCGGGATCTCTGCGTCGAGTATTTACCCTCGGAGCCGTGACGCGCGTCATGTCCCCCCCCCTCCCCTCCCCTCCTCTCCCCGTCCACAGCGTTACCCCCCCCCCCCCCCCACCAGTGCATCTGGCACCGCGGTCTTGTGGCGCCAGACCCACACGGGGGGGGGGGGGGGCGTTACGTCATGTCCCCCCCTCCCCCACTGCCCTCCCCACGACGCCGGTTATCCACGCAAATAGAGCATCTCCCATCGGCCCCCCGTTCCAGTCCACCCGAGTTTCCAGAGGTTCGATGATTCAAAGAGATTACTTCGATTGCGGTTTCCAGGGGCTTGTTTCCAGAGTTTGGTGCCGATTTGGTTGTCCAGCGATAACACATCCCCGAACGACGATCCCCGTGTTTTGTTTTACGAGGGCATGTGACTTGGAAGATGACACGCCAACTCTTCCGTCGTGCATGTAGCTTGCAGCTCGCGAGTACGACGGCGACGGCCGACGACGAAGGACTGACCTTGACGGACGACCGACGGCGACGGCGACGAACGATCCTCGAGGACGAAGACGACCGACGGACGACGATGACCGACGACGATGACATACGACGAAGGACGACGACCGACGGACGGCAGACGACGACGACGGACGACGACGAGGAAGACGACGTCGACGTCGAAACCGTCCCGCCGCCGTCGCCGTCGCCGTTGCCGTCATCTCAGCGGAGCCCGGACGCACCCCAGAGCAAGCGTGCTCTGGAGTGGGGATCTCAGGGCTCAGCTCGGGACGCCCAGGGGCCAAGTCCTGGCGCATGCCGCGGCTCAGACCGTGACCCTGGCGACGACGCGAGTCGTGTCCCTGGGGAATCGTAGACCCTTGCCATCGGCCGGACGTGTGCATATTTTTCTGGCGGGAGCAGAACATCGGGGGCGCGCAACCATGGATCGGGGAAGGTGCCCTCCCCGAGATGCGGCCGGTGCCGCCTCGCTCGGCGGCGGAAATCCGCGATTGTCCATGGAAACGGGACCCGTCGCTAATCCATGCCCCCTTCATCCATGTTTGCGATTGTCTGAGAACAATCGAGGAACATCTGAGATCATCTTGCGAAAAATGCACGCACGAAATCAAAAATGCACGGGGAATGGACGTCCGAGCGATGGCGAGGACGTCGTCTTCGAGGTCGTCGTCGCCGCTGTCATCTGTCGCCGTCGTCTCCGTCGACGGCGTCGGACATCACCCCCCCCAGACCTGCCCTGGGGCGCGTTCGGACCAGAAAATCTCGGGGCGAACCTGTCCGCGGCTACGTGGGTGCCGCCCCGAGAGCCTCTGGGAAAGGGCGAACGACACTCGCAGAGCCTCGCAGCCCGAGGCTCGACTTCCGCCGCCGCCGCCGCCGCCGCCGCCGCCGCCGCCGCCGTCGTCGTCGTCGTCGTCGTCGTCGTCGTCGTCGTCGTCGTCGTCGTCGTCGTCGTCGGCGTCGGCGTCGGCGTCGGCGTCGGCGTCGGCGTCGGCGTCGGCGTCGTCGTCGTCGTCGTCGTCGTCCGTCGCCGCCGCCGTCGGTGTCCTTCCCGAGGGAGCTGGCGGCGCTCGCGCGCGAGCTGGCCGCGCTGGCGCAGCGGGCTCCCTGGAGGAATGGGTGCCTCGCGCGGGGGCCAGGGAGTGCAGACTGACCCAGCATTTCCTCCTCCCCCCCCTCCTCCTCCTCCTCCTCCTCCTCCTCCTCCTCCTCCTCCTCCTCCTCCTCCTCCTCCTCCTCCTCCTCCTCCTCCTCCTCCTCTCCTCCCTCTCCTCCTCCTCCTCCTCCTCCTCCTCCTCCTCCTCCTCCTCCCTCCTCCCTCCCCCTCCCCCTCCTCCTCCTCCTCCTCTCCTCCTCCTCCTCCTCCTCCTCCTCCTCCTCCTCCTCCTCCTCCTCCTCCTCCTCTCCTCCTCCTCCTCCTCCCCCTCTTCTTCCTTCCCCCTCCTCCTCCTCCTCCTCCTCCTCCTCCTCCTTCTCCTCCTCCTCCTCCTCCTCCTCCTCCTCCTCCCTCCTCCCCCTCCCCCTCCTCCTCCTCTTCCTCCTCCTCCTCCTCCTCCTCCTCTTCTTCCTCCTCCTTCTCCTCCTCCTCCTCCTCCGCCTCCTCCTCCTCCTCCTCCTCCCTCCTCCTCCTCTCCTCCTCCTCCTCCTCCTCCTCCCCCTCTTCTTCCACCTCCTCCTCCTCCTCCTCATTCATTCATTCATTCATTCATTCATTCATTGATTCATTCATTCATGGGCCATTGGGAGGTCAGCCAAACTAGGCTCGCCTGACCTCACAGCAAAACAGACGAGTCGGGGCCACGGCCGCTCTTGGGCCAGGCCCCTCACCCACGAAGCCCAGCCCTGGGGCATTGCAGAGGGCTCAAGGGGCTCGAGGGGTAATCCGCAGGCCGCCCCCGAAGGGCGCCCCACCCCCGCCCAACGATCCCCCAAGCGCCCAGGCGAGCAGGGCGAGGGAGGGGTGCGGGCAGGGGGGGCACGGCCAAAACGATAATGAGGCAACAGGTCACCTCATCCACAAAATACAAAATCAAAAATCAGAGCCTTCGACCACCCACACAAGGACGGCACGGCCTGCCACCCCAGGTGCAGCCAGCGCCAGATGTGGGGTAGCGCACGGATGCTTGCCCCGCGGGTCAGTCGCATCGGGCCGTACGCACAAGGCTGGCAAACAAGATGCCCAGAACCCAGTGATGCAGATGGCTCCAAGGGCTCAAGGGTAATCCGCAGGCCATATCCCCGTAGGGCGCCCCAGCCCCCGCCCAACGATCCCCCTGGGCCCAGGTAGGGCGACGGGAGGGGTGCGGGCGGGGGGGCATGGCCAAGGCTGAAGTGCACAGATTGACACAAGGACAACAACATCAGAGAAAAAATCAAAGACCTAAACAAGAAACACAAGTCAGAGAAAAACAATCGACCACCCACACAAGGACGACGCGACCTACCACCCCAGGTGCAGGCAGCGCCTGGACGGTGGCAAGCCGCGCCCCAGATGTGGGGTAAGCGCACGGATGCTTGCCCTGAGGGTCAGCCGCATCGGGCCGCGCGCGAGAATGGAACATAAAACACAGGGCACGACAAGTCAGGGCAAACTTATATTGTGGCACCCCGCATGCTGCCTACCTGGTCATGCCACCACTCGGCTGGACTGTGGAGGACGCGCCAGGGGCGGCTCAAGCGGGTGCCTTTTGGCCACGGGAGCCTCCCGCGGCGGAAATCACGTACCAGGGCTATTTTCTTGTGTCCACAGGGGCCCAGGATCCTCCTCCTCCTCCTCCTCCTCCCCCTACTCCTTCTCCTCCTCCTCCTCCTCCTCCTCCTCCTCCTCTTCCTCCTCCTCCTCCTCCTCCTCCTCCTCCTCCCTCCCTCCTCCTCCTTCTCCTCCTCCTCCTCCTAGCTCGGACACCAAATGCCAAGCTTGTAGCGTTCGTCGTCGTCGTCCTCCTCCTCCTCGACCCTCCTCCTCCTCCTCCTCCTCCTCCTCCTCCTCCTCCTCCTCCTCCTCCTCCTCCCACCTCCTCCTCCTCCTCCTCCTCCTCCTCCTCCTCCTCCTCCTCCTCCTCTACCTCCTCCTCCTCCTCCGGGGGGGCATCGTCAGGGGCAGCGTTAGAGAGGCATCGGCCCAAGGGGGATCAATATGTTGCCCGAGGGTGAGAAATCTTGGACGGAATTTCCGTCGGGTGAAAAGGCATAGTGGTTTCCACCCATGCCTTTCACCACTGCGGTTTTTCAGCCCGGGTCCGTTTCACCGTCGTTCTCCCCCCTCAACCTTTCCCCCCGCCTGCTTCCCTCCTTCCCCTCTCCCCATCGTCCCCGTCGGTAGAGGGGTCGAGATGGAACGGCGGGGAGGGCGACGGGAGAATCAGAGCTCCCGCGGCAGCGAGCGCAGCTCCGATGCGCGGCGTGACGGACCAGCAGCAGGTATCAATTTCCGATCTCCCCATTGGTCAATCCCCACCTGAAACGACGACCCCATTGGTCAATCGAGCACTCTTCTGCCCACGCGTCCCTCCGGACGCTCGGCTCAGTGGTGGTGGTGGTGGTCTGGAGGTCGGAAAGGGGTGTGGCATAAAGGGGTATGGTGCCAATCCTGGAAATGGCGATACTTTCTGCGATAAATCACATCGCCAGAGTCCCCTGTACCTAAAATTAGCACCACACCCCTTTATACCGTACCCGCTTCCTGCCTCCAGAATCGGACCCCCGCCCACTGCCACTGACTGCCGACACGGGGCCCGACAGCGCGCCCTCGGCGTCACCCCAACGTACTACTACTGCTACTGCTAGATGTGCAGCGCTCATCCAGGGGCGACGCGCGCACCGTCAAATCTTCTGTTAGATGCGTCGTGGCGGGCGCTGTCTGGCCACACCGCGCGGGAAACGATGTACTAGACGATGGGCATACTATATGTTCGGGCCCGACGCGCGCTTCCAAAGAGTACACATAGTACCAGTATGTCTCCGTGCGTCCCACGCCCCGCGAGTCCTGTTCATTTTGAACCGGGTTCGCTGTCCGCCGCCGATGCTGACGCTGTTCACTGAAGACAGCAGGCCGCTTGCCCAACAGCGGCCGCTGTCGGTTTGGGACAACTCTTGTGGTTGGGCATTGTGCCGATTCTGTTCGTACCCATGTCGGGCGTCCGAACTACCGAAATGGGTACCCTCCTCCTCCTCATCCTCATCCTCATCCTCATCATCCTCATCATCATCATCCGGATCCTCATCCTCACCCCCTTCCCCACGCCCCCGCCTCCTCATCATCCGCCGCCTAATCCTCATCATTCGCCGCCTTCTCCTCCTCCTCCTCCTCCTCCTCCTACCCCCGCCCAGGACCGCCCCGGATGACTCGCCCGCCATCGCCTCCGCCAGCGAGCAGCGCCTGGCGGACCGCCTGGAGCGCGAGCTCGCCTCGGCGGCCGAGCGGCGCGCCGTCGGCCGGGGACGGCGCTCGGAGATCGACGACGGCGGCGGCGACTGCCGCCGCCGACAACGACGACGACGACGACAATGACGACGACGATGACGACGACGACCACGACCACGACCACGACCACGACCACGACCACGATCACGACGACGACGAAAGTCGAGCCTCGAGCTTCGAGGTTATGCGAGTGCCGTTCGCTCTTGCCCGGGGACTCTCGGGGCGTCGGTCGACGACGGCGGCGCCGGCGGCTGCGACGACCGACGGCGGAAACGGTCGACGGCGAGGCGACGGGCCGCTGCGGCGACCGCCGGGTGCTTCGACGACGGGGCGACGGACGGCGGCGACGGCGGGCGGCGGCTGCGCAGACGGCGAACCTGCGGCTGTTTTAGTGGCTCCTGGTGTCCGAGGTCCGAGGCGCTCTTCCAGGAACCGATCCGGTCCCAGCGACGGTGACTCCTGTCGCTGGCGACGAGGCGGTGGGCGGCCGACGGCGTCGGCAGCGGCCACGGCGCGGCGACACGGCACTCAGAGACCGACGACGGCGTCGGTCGGGCCGCGCCAAAGGAGGGGGATAGGGGAAAGGGGGCTACGAAATCTGCTCCTCCTCCTCCTCCTCCTCCTCCTCCTCCTCCTCCTCCCCCTCCTCCTCCTCCTCCCCCTCCTCCTCCTCATGCAGCTGCTCTCCGCCCCACAAGCAACCAAGACGGCCAAGCATGGCCCCGATTGCTACCCCGAACGAGCCAAAATGGTCCCCAACGCTCCAGCATGGGGGAGCAGGACAGCTCGGGACTCCAGGAGGTGACGTCCAGAGGACCCCATAGAGTTGTAAGACAGCAGGAGCAGACCAAATCGGCCCGTGAGAGCCCCGATCACCACAAAGACAGCCCGACAGGGCGTCCAGAGCGGCCCAGGACAGCCCAAGGAAACCGCAAGAAGGCCCAAAAGGCCGCCAAGACAGCCCAACATGGCCCCGATTGCTGCCCACACCGCGGTAAATGGCGCCCAAAGGCATTTCCAACTCGCCTAGGATTGCCCAAGAGGGTTCTTTGTTCAGGAAAGCCCAGCGCGACCCCCCGGGGGCGGGGGGGCGGGAGGGGTGGGGGGGGCCATCGAGTTGTAAGGCCGCCTGGGATGGCTCCATGAGCAGCCCAGAACGGCCCACAAGAGCCAGGAGATCCACAGAGACAGCCCAGCAGGGCTTCCAGAGAGGCCCAGGCCGGCCCACGGGAGCCCCAAGAAGGCTCAAATGGCCGCCAAGACAGCCTAGCGGCAGGACGGTTAGGGCTCCAAGAGGTGACCTCCAGAAGGCCCCATAGAGTTGTAAGACAGTTTGGGATGGCTCCAGGAGCAGCCCAGAACGGCCCAGGAGGGCCCCGCGCGCCACAAAGATAGCCCAGCAGGGCTTCCAGAGAGGTCCAGGACAGCCCAAGGGACTGCTGAGCCAGATCGACATTCTGAAAACACAGGTGCACTAAACGTTGTTTTTATTGTTTTAAGTCTCCGACGTGCACTCTAAACGTTTTTTTCTCACGTCGGACGTGCCCCTACGTACCTAGGTGGAGGAGGAGGAGGAGGAGGAGGATGCCGAGGAGGAGCAGCAGGAGGAGGAAAGGGAGGAGGAGGAGGAGGAGGAGGAGGGGGAGTAAGAGGAGGAGGGGGAGGAAGAGATGGAGGAGGGGGAGGGGGAGGAGGGGGGAGGGGAGGAGTTACGGAGTTGCGGATATTGCGACTGTGTCGGTTACGTGTTGTTTGAATAGAACGAGCCGCTCTTCTGGCTTGATCAGCTTTGCTGTAAGCTTTAGGCCAGATCCCCCGCTCAATATTCTTTAAACAATCTCTACGATTACCCTCTGGTCTGCCAACACACCTCTCCCCAAGCTGGGCCAACTGCTGGGCCGCAAAGCTTCCGCAGGTGCTACAGAACCATATCCCCAGCCCAGCGTGGAACTGAAAATTGTGAGTCTCATCAGCCCACCCCCCACAGATGTGCACCCTGCAACGGGGGGGCGACCTGAAAACAACGCCATCGATAGCCCTCAGGTCGAAGCATGGGGTATCCAACCAAACCTTTCGCCTAGCTTTGGTTGCCGAGCTCCTACGCTTTCAAACAAGACAGCTTATTTTCAGACAGCGTGTGTAACGTGGAAAATTCTTTGCAAACAACAGGCGCGGGTGGCCTGGGCCCAGGATTCCTGACAGGGGACCCTCGGGGCTCCATGGCCGCTAAGGCCTGCTCAGCTTTCAAAGTTTCCAGAGTGGCTAGCAAAATTCGCGTACGGACGGCGAAAGCCATCTTCTCATTCGTGAGAACCGTACTCCTGATACACGCTGGGACTCTGACAGCACGAGCTGTTGCGGAGGCCAACTTATCGGCCGCCGCATTCCCAACCGCCAAATACAAAGGAGCTCTACCCTGGAGGACACCTCGAGCCTCTTGGTGGGAGTGAACGACAAGGACCGTGCAACTGAGATTGGGCTTTCCCTTAGGGACTTGCCCTACCTGGTGCCGCAAATCCGCGTTCTCCCCCTCTGGGGCGAAAGCCCGGCCACAATACCAACCAGAGCAGACGCTGGCGTTGTCTGTGGTATAAATCACCACTCCATCAGCACCAGTGAGTGCTGTGAGAAAACTGAAAAGTTCACCCCTAGCAACTGTTTGGACGGGTCCTGGGAGGCCCCCACACAGAAGCAATTAACTGTAGATTATCAGAAATGTCGGTATATTTTGCCAAACCGCAGCCTACTCTCCGAAGGCGAGGATCGGAAGTATCTTCGCCACCGCCCGCGTCCCCGAAGAGGCACACAGGGGCCAACTCAGAGCCCAGGCCGAAGCAGTGGTCTTCAAACGCTCCGATGCCTACGCTCCACCACTCGACCTCCTCTTGTGGAGGCGGGACGGACACCCAGGCCTGCGGCAAGAGGCTGCGATGCCAAAAATATGGTTCTGCCTCATGCTGTGTGTGGGCTCGCGGGGCGCACTCATCCGACATCTTAAAAATGTCGTGGTCAACGCATTTCGAACAACCCCAAATACGATGGAAAGGCGTTTCCTTCTCGACCCCACATTTGGCACATATCTGGGATATCGGCCCTTTGGACTTATCCGACCTGCGCTCGCGTGACCAGGCTGCCCCCGCTGCTGCCGACAGAAGAATGTCCGCCAGCTGCTTGCCGCTGGGCCCTTCCTCGGGCTGTCGGAGGAGCGCGCGGAGGGAGAGGTTGCAAATGCCTCCCCCCATGCCCACACCGTCGAAGTGCGTAGCTGCCTGGCGCCACAGCCGCTGCATCACCGCTGCCTCGTACTCCTGCAGGAAGGCCTTCGGAACGTCAACCTTCTCAAAGCCCGTCAAGGCTGCTGGGTTGAATTGCCAACTGTGCTGCATGCCAGAACAGTCGTCCTGAACCCTCCGTCTGCTGGACCTTCAGGCCCCCATCCCTCTTGAAGTAAATATGTAATGACTGCAGCTTGCGGCCCTCGTACGTGTCGGCTGCGCAACTGAGGAGCCATGGGCCGAAACTCTTGAGCAAGCTGCCGCCAAGTCTTGTCGACCCCGCTCATGAGGGCTGGCTGCGAGAGCCAAGTACGAATCCACCTCTGCAAGCATTCCTTCGGCAAACGACAAGCTGGACCTCGCCCTGGGGCGCGCAAATCCAGCAGCGTCGTAACGCGTCGCCCCGTGAGTCGAGGACTGGACGCGTCGCACAGGAACGCCCGCATCTGTCTCATTCGGTGGCCACGCGCTCCGTGTACCTGATGGGCGTAGGCGCCCGCAGCAGTTGCACCTTGCTGCTCTAACCTCGATGTCAGCCTATGTATTCTAGCTGTGCGGGCATGCCTCACTACCTTCGCGTGCATCTTCTGATGGCGTGCCACTCTGGCCGTCCGCGTCGCTCTGGCATGGCGTCTTCCCCCGCCACAGTCGACGCCGAGATAAGGGGGTCTGCGCCGCCGCCGTCGCCCCGAAGCCCGCAACCTTGAGGCGCTTCACCACCTCCTCGGCATCCGCAAGCTTGGTGCACACCACCACGCTCTTGGGAGAGATTGTGAGGCCGTCGCTCTGCATGGCAACGCGGGCCTCCTTCAGGCAAGCCACGAGACGGTCACGTACAGCACGTCGAGAGCCCTTAGAGGCCTGACTCAGATCGTCGATCCACAGCCTGCGTGAAAGGTGCACGCGAGCGGTCGCGACCTTCTGCATTATGAAAAATGGCACCGCTTTGGCGAAACGCGTGCCTGAGCGCAGGCCCTGCACCACCGACCTCGTCGGGGAGAAGGCCTCGGCCATGCGCTGCAGCAGCTCCAGCCCCAGCACCTCGGCTGGGAACTCCAGCCGCATCGCCGCCTGCCCCAGCTTCAGCCACCCGATGGTGTCGTAGAAGCTGGCGGTGTCCAGCAGCCCGTGGCCATGGGCCGCGCCCAGGCGAGCTGCCAGCTCCTCGTTCACCGCGCGGATGAACGCCTCCTGCAGCGCCGCGTTCCCGCGGGTCGCGGCGCCCCACGGCGCTTCGCAGTCCTGAGTCCACGAGGGCGCCCAGGGCTCCCGCGCCTGGTACCAGGGCCGCGCGATGTGGGGCAGCAGGCCGATGACCCTGTCGCCCGAGATCTTCTTCTGCAGCAGCGTGCCGATCGTCAACAGCTGTCGGTGCGGCCACGCCTGGCATGCCCCGCAAGCTGCCAGGACCACTGCAAGCTCCTCGAACGCCGCGTCGGGGAGCCGATCGGTGTCCAGCGCCGTGAGACGATCAACTCCCATGGCTGCCGTCTGCTCCATACTCCTGCCAGCCGCACGTAGCTGCTCGCCTGACAAGGGCGGGAGGGGCTCCTCAGCAACACGTGCACGAATTTCGGCGAAGAGCGACTGAAGCCCCTCCAGTTGCTGGCCCTCGGGGGCCCACAACTCCTGGAACTTCTGGCTCTTCCTATCCATGATGTCCCTCGGGTGCTGGATGGTCCTGTCGCCTTCCACGGGCGAATGAGGAACCTGCGGCGCCTCTC